AAAAAAAAAAAAAAAAAAGATACAGACATAAGCACTGTGATGCTGTAGTACTAACATCCTGAAGAGGAGAACTGGGAGCAGAGCCGTGCCATAATTTATCCGTCACTTCAGCCATGCCACTAAGTATTTATTTTGCCCTCCAAGACCTAGCACTGGGAGGGTTGGAAAAATTGGATTTCATCAAGCGGCCTGATTGACTGAGACAGTCAAATCCTGCCAACCTGTCTCTCCCTGGTCTGCTACAGAAACAAGACTGTTTCCTACCGGAGGAAGAGAAAAACACAGCTCTCCTGACAGCTCTTTTCAGCACAAGAACCCAAGTATTTTTGGACCCCACATAAATAAAAAAAAAAGCCTTAATCTACCCACACCCACTAGTCTCCAAATAACCAGGAACTCAACCCCCAAATTCTCTCTTGACTCAAGACTCAAACATTAGCTTACGCTCTAGTTTAAGCCAAAGAACATTTCTGCCTCTCAGCAGTTTAGGGGCAGCATCAGATTTCTGAAGCACACGCACGCAGGCAAAACACTCGTGATCACTCAACCAGCTCTGTGGTTTTACACTGGAAATATGTTGCTATGGAGAGCCCAGCACGGGGATGGGGAATGACTCGAACGCAACCGTGCACAACCAGGGGCAGCCCGCTGCCTCTGCTGACCTCTGAACATAGATCAAAGGCCCAAAGGGAGCATTTAGAGGCTATGTACAAACAGCCCAAAAGCCTGAGGCAGGATCAGTTCAGTCTTCGTAGGGTAGTTTAAGCTGCACAGATTAAATGGAAACAGAAGTGAACAAGCCTTTGCCTTTGATTCAGGTAATGCAGCCACTGGACTGCAGTGGGTCAGGCCAAAAGCCGGGGGGCGCTACAACACGGCTCTCTGGCGCACAGCCAGCATGGGCTGTGTGTTCATTTCCTCTTCCTGCTGCCCCCAAGGTCTCTGGGATTTGCAGTCCAGCAGCACAGAAGCAGGACTCTGCAGGGTTCCTCATCACTTCTTCCTGTTTCCAAGTGCCTCTAGGATTTGCAGTCCACAGTTGCAACCAGCAATACGTTTGAGCAGGGGAAGACGTGTTTAACCCCTATCCCTGGCCCCAGACCCCAGCCGGGGTTTTTCTCGAGGGGTGGGGGCAGTCCCCCCACATAGACTGGGCTGTATCCCCACCTGGGCTTGTCCCCCCCCCAGCCCCTTGTCAGCAGCCCTCACTGCTCCAGCTAGGGAGCAGAGGGGCTGGGCCAGCCCTGCTCTCTGGAGCAGATGGCATAGCCCAGCCCAGGGCTGCAAAGCATGCTGGGATGCTGGGGGACTGTGATTTAACTTGAACCAGGAAGGGGTCTCGGACAGAAGTTTCATGAACTGGTTTGACCCAAATCAGTTACATCTGATACTACATTCAACCAGGTTTATCTTAAACCAGTTTCAGCCATTTTGAAACTGGTTTATGTGCACTGAACTTCTGTTCTGTTACAGGTTTAAACCAGTTTCTGATTACTTAAACCAGTTTATGTGTAACTTCTGTCTGTAGCCATAATGTTCTTTTCCTCCAACCCTGCCCCTCCAGAGACCTTTTGCAAAATTGTTGAGAGGACATGTATTTGGTAGCTGTGTTGGTCCGAGACAAAAAGAAATGCAAAAATCTAGAACTCTTGGTTCAGAAATGATACCTTTTATTAATCCAACTAGGAAATTGCAAAAAAAATTATCTTTTTTTCTGCAGAAAAAGATAATTTTTTTTTTTGTGATTTCCTAGTACATAATAAAAGGTATCATTTCTGAACGAAGAGTTCTAGGTTTTTGCATTGAAAGGACATTGCATTTCTGGAACTGGCACATCACAGCGAGCTGTCTTTCCACAGGGACAAAGGCAGGAAAAGGGATGCTATTGCCCAATTAGCTGCTGTAATCAGGGCATCCTTCCTATTCACCCAACTGCTCGCAGCACTCAGTACACCTACTACTAACCATAGGTAGAGAGCAAATCATTGAGGTAGCTGTCTCAGAGAGGATTGATCCTGACGGCGCTGAGTTCCTGCATCTCTCATTGAAACCCAACACTGCCTGAGGTCACTGAGCAGCAAGAGGTGCCCGGCAAACAGCAGAATTGCACCCGGAGCTACCTGAAGTGCCATGAAAGCAAGGATTTGTGCTCTCAGTGCTGCACGAGTGTGACCTTGACTTCTCGCCGTCCTCACAAACCGGAACAGGCGTCGAGCACAGTTGGCACCTCGGAAAATTGATCCCAACATGAATTTGCAGAATCGCAAAGGACAGTATCTTTGGGAAAGGGTTTTTTTTTTTTTATTTAAAGAGAGGTCTTTAAAACATCTGAAACACTGTTTGTTTTCTTTCTCATGTTCTGAAGGAATCAATAAATCCTCAACTACAGCATAAACACCCAGCCGTCAGCCCATGATTTCTAAAAATGTTGTATTTGTATTACGCTAAGTAATTATTTACAGTCGCCATAAACATCCTCCCAGCACCGTCCATCTGGCAGCTGGGAGAGGGACTTGGAATTTGCTCATTTACTTGCATTGTAAACCACTTTGTAATAAATAAATAAGCTCTTAATATCTCACCCACAAAACGAGGTGCTGTTGCGGGCTCCTTTGGGACCTGGGGGTTTAGTTGCTGAAAAGGTGAAGGATTTTCCTTTTTCTTATTTATTTTGGAATCGATTTTTAAAAATCTCGTGACCCTTCTGTCTGCAGTGGCAGGCTGGGCCTTTTGTGCGGCCTGAATGCGAGTCAGATTTTGCTGTCGCAGGGTGTCAGGTCAGACCCACAAAGCGAACTGAACGCCGGCAGGACACACATCGAAGGGACAATGAATGCGAGTCTCCTGTGCAGTAGCGAGTAATGATCGGCGTTATACCTAGTTAGGCCGTTTGATTCTGGTGGGAAAGCAGCGTAGGGATAACCAGGATGCTTAAATTTTCTTACCCAGCTCCTGAGAAGTACAACAAACACAGCAAAATCCCTACAGGGCTCCCCAACAAGATCCTTCTCCCAGAATCATTGTGCAGAAATTACTCTGGCCCCAGGCACACTTCATTGTTGAAGACATGCATGTCTTCACCCACGGAGAGTGACAATCACAGCCTCACGAGTGCTATCCGGGTGGCAGCTGAGCTGAGCAGGATGTTATAAGTAGAAATCAGTCTTGAATAAAACTGGCCTTTTGCAAGTCAAGGTCAGCATTTTCTGGAACGAGAAGGATTGGCCAAGTGACCTAAGTGGCTTCCATGGAGCAAGAGGAGTGTGGAGGTTTTAACTGCAGCAGGTTGCATTTATTGAACCCGCTGATTTGGTCGGATAAGCCTGCGCTATGCCGGGTCCACCCTGCATTGAAGCCTATATCCACATCTGCAACTTCAGTGAGGTCAGTAAAGCTGGCACTGGCTCGTACTGGAGTAGGTCTGACTATACGTCTCCAACATCAGACATTCAGAAAACATCTCCAAGGTGAAATAGGTGGGGCTCTGCACGTGGAAGAAAGGAGGGACAGCTGCCTTTTTCAACAGACCTGGGGCTTTCCATGCCTAAGAGAGCCAGATGCAGGATTGTTTTGCAATGCTGGCAAGTCAGTGGAAAAAAGGAGCGGGGCAGTTGGGCAGTCTGCTGGGCTAGGGCTGCCTTCCAGGTTTCGCTGCAGAGGGATGATCGTGTCCTCACTCTCCTTACCTCCCACTGCTCAAACACGGCTTGCCATGGCATCCAAACTAGGTGAGAGTGACTGGCCAGACAGCTTCTACAGCAAGTGCCCTGCACGCTCCATCCGATACAGAGGAAAGCTGCCTGCCCCCGGTTCACTGATGGAACGGATGCTGAGGATATTGGAGCTGATGATTTTAAACTTTCATGAAATCAAGGCCAGCTCTCCTAAGGGAAGGCTCGACGAATGGTTGATTTGAGGCAAACTTTAGCGAAACACGACACTGTCAGGTCAAATTTGATCCAAAACTTGTGCTTTGTATATAATAACAATAAAGCCCTTTCACAGAACCTGAGGACGAGGAGAAACACTTGCCATGAAGAACAGTTATTATTTCCCCCCCGCCCACGGTGTTTGCAACCCAAATATTGCAGCACTGTGCTGGTGCACAAGAATGTGAAAGCAAGGTCGATTAGTAACCAAGAGAGAGAGTGCATAGTCTGTATTCACTGCCTGAGACTGGGGGAAGAGGGGACGGGGGGTGGGGACGGGGGGAATGGACCAAGAAAACAATGAAAAGGAAACGCATGCTTTCAGCTAGTTTCATTAACTTGCGCTAAGGGCCTTCTGAGCATTTCAAAGTTATGCCACTTCAGGTAGGTCGTGCTACCTAACTTGGGTTAGGGTAGCTTCAGTCTGCCCCATGGAAATAAAACAAACAATTTACAGTCCTCTAGCATCCCAGGATGCACTACTGTCAGCCCACCCACAAGCAGGGATGCAGTGCGCCCCAGCTCCTGGCACGCTCCAGCTCACCAGCCCTCTAGCAGCAAGTCAGAGCGGTACGATTTTTCACAGCAGGCATGTCTACATGGGAGCTTTAATGAGCCTATTTTAATGTTCATTAAAGCATCACTAAAAAAACACATGATATTTAGTGAATGCTGATTAAAATAGGCTAATGCGCATTAAGCATCATTTAACACCTGTGCTCTTTAGTTAATGCACATTAAGACAGGTTAATAATGCACATTTTCTTAGTACCTCGCAATGGAAGTACTAGATTTAATGCGCATTAACTAAAGCACATTAATGCACATGTAGACATGCCCAGCAGGTTCTAACTCTGACATGGATTAACATTTGATAGATTTGGTATGGTCTAAGTGTAACGGGTAACTTGACCTTCATTGTTTTTTCCACAATAAAAAACAATCGCTAAGACCTAACCCCAAAAACACACAATGCCTCCGCCTCTCCCCAGCTCCCTAACATGTCCTCACTGCCCCATCCCGTTGGAGGGGGTCAACTGTTATCACACCTGTCCTGAACATAAAGGATAATGTTGGTGCCTGAACAAATGCTTATAATGTATATATGGATAAACTGAAGCTGGAAATTAGATTCCAAACCATGCAGTTCAGAAACAAACTTCCTCTTGGGGTAGCAGAGGCCAAGACTGCTCCATTGGCATATAAAGGGGATTATTGGACATGGTGCTTCTGATAGCAAGGGACTAGATTTGATGACCCAAGAGGTCCTTTCCAAGCCTATATTCTTATTTGATGACCTTCAAAGCAAGAGCTGCACCTTTGTTCTGCAGAGCACCAGGCACAATTCTGACACCCATGAAAATAATGAATAACAATCAATTTTTTTCAGCCAAATGGTCTAACTGAACTCATTCAGATGAGAAATAGTCTTGCACATCTACTAACAAGATTACAGAGCTCAGTGACAACATAATCTGATAGTCGCTCAAGGCATTTCATGTCTACTTTTTCATTGAGGAAGCTCGATAGGGCAGGGACTACATTTCTCTTACGTTTTGTACAATCCGAAGCACCCTGTTCAGGCTTAACAAACAATAAGAATGGGCAATTTTTCACAGGCGCTTTTCTTGCTCTGAATCTACTTTTAATCGAGATAATAACCTAGTGGGGAAGTTATGTTGAGCTTTGATCATTAGTTTCCCCTATGCATCTGTCTCACAGTTTAATAAAAAAACACAGCTGTGGAAATCCAAGCCGATTGCTCTGCTGATGCCCCATTAATAGGGATGAATATAAAGGAGGAAGCACTTTCATACTCTACACAATCTACTCTTCAATGAGTGGGGTGTTGGGACCCTACTGGCATCACACCAATTAAGCCAGGCCCTACCGCACTGACTAATCAATCCGTCCTTTTACATTCCTGGAGACCTTACCCAGAAAAGCAGCCTTCATAATTTTTTTTTGAAGGAACTAGACAATACTGACTGTCTCGACAGATTAGCCCCATATTCTGTCATTCTGGGAGTTCAACTCCAATGCTTCTATATTTTACATGTACTAATGCTCTTTTTTTCCTTGAACACAAAAAGTATTGCACTTTCTATCACAAAAATAACTTCACCAAAGATTTCTAGCTCGTTTGTATTCTAGG